TCTGAATGAGTGCATGCTTTTTAAGTCTGAAAATTAATTTTTTTTTTGTTTTTATAATTATAGCAATCATTCTACTAATCTGTTTTTTGTTGAAATTTTTTTTATGTTAAAGCAAGCTAACTTAGTTAGTTTAGTGTATTGTCTGTTTGTTTTGATTTTCTTATTTACTTTTTTTATGATGTTATGATATTTTCATTCATTCATTCATTCATTTTTTCTTTATTTTAGAATAATGAATACTTTTTCTTTCACTTTCTTTTAAAATACCTCTGTCCAGTTATTCATATCTTCTTTTTCACAAAGATATTATTATTAATCTTCATCAACACAATCTAACTCAATAAGATATTATCTCTCAATTGAAATGAGATCATAATCTTGAAGTTAGTCAATCAACTGTTGTTTATTGTCTTCAAAAATAGAATATTAAAAATATCAAGAAATGGGAAGCTGATAAATTAATTCAAAATCTTATTTAAAAATTATTTTCATGAGGCTTGCAGGATACTGATATTCTATCAGTTATTCAAGAAAAGTATCCTGAGTCTCAACTTTCTATATATGAGCTTTATCAAATTCAGCAGTAATTGAAACTTCATCAGTAAAGAGATAACTATGAGAATGATTAGGTGCAGAAAGAGCTTATATCTACTATACAGAAAAAGCTTAACAATGAATTTATTCAGAGTTTTGAAAGAGAACATCTGTACATTCATTTTAGATAGCAGGGGCATAGCATTTCATGATATATTTTGATTAATATAATGATTAGTATAATACTAATAAAATCAGAGATTGTCTATTCAAAACAGTTCAGCTGCTTAATCTAGATGGAATTACATGTTGACTAAATGATCTTCAATGTCACTGAGGATCCTACATTGTTCCTGGATCAAATTATCTTTGGTCTATTGATGGTTATTGCAAGTTTCAACATTGGGAAATTGAAATCTATACAGCAATTGATGCATATTCTCAGTATATAGTATGGATATATATTGAAATCACAAACTGTATCACTGTTTCTGTTCTTTGACAATTTCTTGATGTTCTTCAAACCACTGATACTTTTCCTCAGGTTATTCATTCAGATTGAGGAACTGAAACTTCAATGATTGCAGCTGCACAACTCAAACTACATCAGGCAACTGATTCAAATGTTTCTTTGAATGAGTGCTATCAATTCAGAACAAGTACACTAAATCAACAAATTGAATCTTGATGAGGACAACTTGCAAAACAGTTGACAAATTACTGAAGAGTATGAAATTCCATATTCTTGCTATTAATTATTATACTAATCTTTATACTAATCTTTTCTCAGCACTATTTTCTGAATCTCAGTCATGCAGGTCTATTTCACACCAATACAGTATCTGATCATATTGCCTTTCTCACTGTGTATATGCCAATTATTTGACAAGAGGTAACAAACTATGTGGAAGTCTAGAATAATCATCAAATTCGCACTCAATGTAAATGACCTGATGGGGTATATGGACAGCCCTGGAAGCTCTATTATCATCTTGATAATGCATTACAACATGGTTTAAAACCAGATTCACAAGTGCTTTCAGAACTTCACATGCATTTTGAAAACTGGGGTATGTAATATCTTCATTACTAATATCTCTGTTGATCTAATATCATAGAAATACTAATACTTGATAGATATAATGAGCATCTACCACTTGAGACAAAGAATTGATGTCAGAATCAGATTTCAAAGTTGAGATTTTCTTCTGGAAGAGTCACTGCTGCAGCTGTCAATGAACAGAGTGAATGTATACATAAGATAATATATCTTCAGCTGTGAAAACTTGTACATAATCATATAAGATCTTAACAAGTTCCTATTTTACAGGAATCTAACAAGCCAATTGGTGCTTGGGACTGGCTGACAGAGTGATTGCAGGAGCATGAGATGAATTTTGATAATATGATAAAAATGAAAATTTATGATGAGAATAGTGAGAATAGTGAAGATAACAAGTCTGATATCTCTGCTGAAAATAGTGAGAATCTTAAGTCAAATGTATCACAGATGTAATTAGATTGAATATGATTAAGTATTATATTAAGTATTCTACTAATATTCTCAAGAATATACTTTGTAAGTTTGTTACAATAACAATTATTCTATAAATTTTATATTGCAGTGCTATGTGTATTTTGAACTAGATATAATTATATACATACAATGTATGTACACCGTACATACAGAATATATGTATTCATATACTTGAACACTCTATCATTTGAAAATTATAATTGTTCATCATTATATAGTCATATCTAAAGTTATTGACAGTATTAAAATATATATCAATTAACAGTTTTCTTATTTAATTGATACAGTAATATTCTGTTGTGTGTACACTCTTTGAAGATATTATATAATATTACTCATCATGTCTAACACTTTCAAAATGGTTAGCTATTATACTAATCATTATATTAATCAAGTTACTGAAATTCACACACACACACACACATTCTCTCTCTCACTCTGTTACCCTCAAAAACAGATATATATATACACACACTCAAATTTTCCTGTTCTTCTCTTTGTTGTTTATTATCATCTTGATTTACTTCACTATGTGGACACCATTCTGCCTGAATCATCTTGAATTTTCTCATAAAGCACACTGTAATAGTGAAGCTGCCTGTTCTTATTGTGGCAAAGCCAATCCATCCACACTGAAATCCTCTATCATCTCTTCAATAAATGATGAAATCATTATCATTGAAGATAGTCCCAGTCTTCTAACTCTGACACTGTCACTCTCTATCACAATTCTTGATCCTGGACCTTCTCAATGAGCATGTCAACTGGCTATTTAAAAAACACAGAAAGTTCAACAAATGACCTCTAATGCTGATATATCAATCCAACATACATCATCTATAAAAGAATCTGCAATCAAACCTGAGCTGAATCAATTGTCATCCTTGTGAAAATCCTACAAAATTCTTATTCATATTTGGAAATGTGAATACAATGACACCAAACTACAAACATACTATAACTGGAAGTCAATTTGAAAAATTCAAAATGAAATCTACTCAGATTGTGTATTTCTTACAATGAAGGATTTTCTAGAAATCATTACTGCCAGACTTGATACAGCTTGAAAGAATATTCTTACTATTGTTTCTCCAGTTGATGTATTCATTTCTACCTCAGTTACAGGAAAGGATGGTGCAGTTATGCTCACTCCTGATGTTTGAATGTTAGATTTGGAAAAGTTATTGAGTTCATTTAAGAAAGCACACTCATCAACCTCAGCAACTACAATTATTCACATTTGTCTTGTTACCTATGATGAGTTCAATCACCTCATTGAACAACCATCAGAACCAAAGAATATCAAAGTCAAATCATCAGATATCAAAGTCAAAGAAGAGAATATCTTTGTATCAGTGATCAAATGCAAATATGCTCTCTCAGTTGATTTACTCATTCTAAATCTTATCAAATGAAGATAGCTGTACCCAATCCCTATGAAATCTGAAGACAAAATTAATAAATTGAAGATAATGAAGCTTGAGAAGAATCTATTGTTCAAGTGAAAAAAGCCAGAATCAGAGACAGAGGAGAAAAATGTAAAGAAGAAGATGAAAAATACTGTGACAAAGATGGAAATAAATTATTATAGTGAAATTGAAATACAATCAAACTATCTTGACTCATCAGCAAATGGGACAAGATTTCAGCATCAATGTCAAGAGTGATTGATAGATTGATTGATAGATTCTTTTGATATCAGAGTTAAGAGTGATTAGTAAAATATTTGATAGATTTTAGTTTACTTTGTAAAGATTGATATTAATGTGAAGAATTGTTTTGCTATTTATTATTCTCATAAGAAGTCTTACTTCTCACAGAGCTATTCTTGCCTCTATTCTTACCCCTATTCTTACCCCCTATTCTTACCTCTATTCTTGCCACTCATGTATTCAATAGAGTCAAAGAAGCTGTAATCAACAAGGTCTATTTGATTATAAATGAAATGAATATGATTAGTGCGTGTTCATAGTAACACTAGTATAAAAACCATCAAAAAAACCCATTTGACTCAAATGTCACTATAGGCTGCCGTATAATGCTCACATTCTAAGCAGATTGGGAGGTCAGAATTTGAACATCTGCCCATTTGATAGCCTCTGCGTCCCCTGGGTCAGCCCCCACAGGCTAAAATATTTTGGATGTTGCTGCTATTATTGAAACCTGCAGCTGTGTTTTCAGCCTGAGCCATATTGGCTGAAGAATTAACTACCTAGATGGCCTTCTTGACCTCTTTAAGAGGGTTCAATTGAGAGTGTATTTTCTCCATGATCAAATGAATATTCAATATGACAGACTTTGATTTGAACTCTTGTACCTCCTCAATTTTCTTTTGCATGTAGTTTCACCATATATTGAGAAGTGTAGAATAGAATACATGAAATATTACATCATTTAACAGTAAAATATCAAATATTTCCAATTTCATAATAATATCATTGAACTTATTGAAAAATATATGTATGTCAGTGACTTTGACACCACTCATTGATATAAATACCAGGACTGCTTCTCTGCAGAGCTGTGTTCTTAAAATAGAGAACTCCTCTTCAACTGTGTGTCAAAGAGAATAAGTGATCCTGCCCTCATCATACTTATTAAAATAAGGCCTAATGCTGGCTGCCAATGTGTTCAAAATGAATGTATAAAGCCAGTGATTTTTGACCTCTCAAAAAGAAACCTATTCAGAGTTCTTATCAGGGCTTTTGACTTGCTTGTTCTCTAATATAACCCAGCATTGAGTATCAATTAGCTTGGCCTTTATATTTACATGCTAGGAGAGGTAATTTGAAGATTTGACCAGAGTGTTCAGCTTAGTGGCATACTTAGTATCCTGTTTGAACTGGCTGATCATCTTGCTGACGCAACTATCCAGGTCATAGAGATTATATTGCATTCAGGACCTCAAGTTCAGATCTCATGCTGATAGTCAACTCACTGATGTATTTGCAGGTATCATAGCTCTGTCATTCTGAGTACAGAGTCTCTTCAATTGAAGTTGAAGCTGTAATTCTTTGTGCCTTTCTTTTTGAAGTTCTAAATCAATTTTTTGATGTTCAAGATTCAATCTCCTCAGTTGCAATTCTTCAGAGTCAGTTACTGGCAGCAGGTTAGAGATTACTGTAGACATCTTCACCTCATTCTCTGAAGGAGTTGGATCAGCATATTTGACATGATGTAAGCAGACTGGCCTCACCATGGTAGAGGTTGTAATCAGCCCAACTTGCTGATTGAGCATTTTGAGAAGTCCAATATTGAAACTCTTGAATGTCACTGGGGGGGTCAGTAAGCTCAGGGCCCTTTGATCATTTTCAGATCAGTCAGATTGACTGAATTGACTCAATCATAATCACAAGTGAGTCATCATATGTTCCACTATATCATATTAATCTTCTTTATAATGGAGTAATCTTATTTGGTGAGATTCTTGCCTATAAGCTTGATTGAGTAGATTGACATGTTCTTGTGTGATCAGTCACTGAAAAATTAGTGAGTTGCAGATTTTTCTTTCACTCACTAAGTGAACAGATTGAACACAGAAAAAAAAATAATAATATAATAGTGCATTAAATTGATCAATTGACATAAAATAAGACAATATTATATTGAATAAAGTGAGCAGTGATTAATATATGCTATATTTGGCAAGAATTCCCTAAATTGGCAGTTATTTGCGCAAAACAGGTCTTATAACCTGTGAAGGATAGATTGCTTGATTGATTATGTAGTGATTGCTAGCTACGCGGAAGTTATATACAGTGTGAATTACATAAGAAGGCGGATAGACCTGACAGGTTCATGATGAGGCCCAGCAACTTTGTTCACAGTGAGATCAAGATCTGAGATGAGAAATGCACGAATCACATTAGATTGTTTAAGATATTTTAGTGCTGAATGCGTACAGAGTATCAGAGAATGACATTAGATTTCATCACTTTATGAACAAAGTGGAGGAATGGGTCATCAGGAATGAAAATTGTAATACAGAGCAAGTAAAGAAAGTTATCATTCATTAGTCTTAGCAAAACAATAATTTTCTTAAATTAACTGTCCAAATTTTGCTGAATTATGCGACAGAGCTAAACCATCTGAACTTTGATGATAATTTGAAACTTTTTTGTCAGTTGCAAAAATGCAAGGCTTACACTATGGATGAAACCAGCATTGATACATAATGATTGAGGCATAGAACATGTACAGTTCATTACATTACATGAACCTATAAACAAACAATAGAGAACTGCTTAATCTGAGGCAAAGTGTGGGTATGGGAAAAGAACTCAAGAGATGACAGTTGAGAAAGGAAACAGTGCAAACAAAGAAGCCAAAATAACATAGAGAGAGCCGGTAATGAGGGAGCTTACCACCCTATGGTCAAATTAAATAAAAAGAATAGTCACATCTATGTCGATCAAAACAATCCCATAATGCTTTGTGCATGCAATTAAGTATTAGAAAAATTTCTTGTCTTTTACTCGAAATTAAAGCTAGGATTGAAGCAGAAGAGGGGAAAAGCCAGTCTCTTCCAAGTGAAACACACAACAGACCACTGATGGAGAAACAGGGAGAAACGCAATAACATGAGTAATCGCAGTAAATATCTGATGCCAAAGTAAACTCTCCGTGTCTCACCCATCATTTCTCATCCAACCACTGCAGAATAAAATTCAAACAAAACTTCGTCAGTCTTCTCGCTTCACTCTTCTACCCCTCACGGTACCTCCATCTGCCAAATCCAACGTCCCAATTGCCTCTTCAGACCTAGTTGAAACGCGAGTAGGGCTTTGGTAAACAACGGCACGGCGATCCCCACTCCTAATCGGCGAGGCCATGCCAGCACTAGCACTACCGCTACGACTAGCAGGGCCCTTCCCATACGTCGGTGTATCATTCAACTCAATCAAATCGCCCATCCCGCTAATACCCAAATGGCTACCCTGATGCTGCAACTCCATAACACCCGCCTTAGCGCTGCGCGCCATCTTGCGTACCCAGCTTTCAATGGCGCCTCCCACATTCTCCAGGCCCGTGGACGAGTTGGAGATGACGGTTGAAGTAGACTCAATGGAAGGGCGCGCATAGTTGCTAACAGAAGACGATGAGGGGAATCGAAGCGGTGGCGGTGGGGGCACGGCTAGGGTTGGTAGGTGCGTGTTTATGAATTGGTTGAGTTTATCTTCGGCGGGGCCGGGGGCTTTTGCGTTACGGCCTAGTGTTCCTACGCCGCCAGGGCCGGTCAGGGTGAAGCTGCTGCGTTGCCCGTGGATGCGTGGGGCTGAGAGGGGTTTTGAGCTGGATACGGAGTGGTCGCGGGTGCTGGAGTTTGATGTGCAAAGGAATGGGGAGGCGGATGGGGAACTAGTGGAGGTCGGGAATGGGGGTCTTCCCGTACTTGTATCGAGTGATTGATCTTGAGAGGGAGAACGGGAATTATCTTCTAAGTCGGAATAAGGCTGGTCTAGAGATTTTCGCCTTGCTCGTGGAAGGAAAAACCCTAAAGCTTTCCTGGGTACGCGGCCGACTTCAATAGCATCTGGAAATCCGTCGACCTGCACCCAGCATTCGTGTTTCCATTGCGGTGCCTGCTTCGATGACTTGCCTGATATCGACGATACTGCTGATGCGGCACAAATACCTCGTAAATAAGACTCTCCGTATCCAAATGTAGGGAAAGGCGTTGTGCCTGGATCCAATGAACTATAATCCGTAAATGGGTCATTCGTATTATCACGATTCTCCAAGAGATTAACATTCTCTTCCTTCTCAGGAAGTCGATGTCCTTTCAGCGTGCAGGCTTCAGCTGGAAGAAGAACAGTCTTCCTGGCTTGTATAGTATCACTAGGCCAGAACCCGTTGGCTTTCCTCATAACAGTTGGCTGACAGCCATACCTAATGGAGACTCCAGTGATGCTGTCATTCTTCTGGACATGGTGCACATATACCAAAGTATCTGCATCCTCCTGTTCTGGAGGTGGGGCGGAAGCGCCCCGGGGTGCATCCCCAGAATCCCTTCGTTTATAATTCCCCCAACTATCCGGCGTGGCATCTCCATTAGCTTGGAGAAGGGATTGCCTTTTCAGCGCCTGTACCATCGACTGCCGTTCTTCTTTCGATCCTGATCCTAACTGTCTATTAAAGAAATTTGTCGGGCCCCATGACGAAGGTCCACTTCTCGAATTCGGAACAAAATCCGGTTTCGACGGCTTCCGCCCGTGTTGGTATCTGCCTGATGTCGACGTGGACGGCTTCACCTTCCCCAAGGCATCCTCACTCCCCAACACGATCGACGCCAGCCCCTGCAGTGATGACCACGACGATTCCCAAAACTCCGCTGCAAACTGGCCTGCAAACTGGCCTGTCGGTTTATTCAGTCGGGTGTCTGTCCATCCATTTCCCAACTTCGTACTACTTGACGACTGGACCCTATTCAACGAGCTTGATGGTGTACTGGATGGACCTCTGCTTGCGGATGGAGATGGGGTACCAGCCTGAGACCGGGAGGCAATGGGCGTTAAAAATGAATTAGAGTAGACATTATCAGCTCTTAGCCCAGCAGCTGTGCTTGGATGGTCTGTGGCGGTTGTTCCAGAGACATTGTCGTCGTTATCATCATCAACTAGGGAGATCAAGCGTCGATTACGTGGACGAACAGTGGATAAGGGATTCACGCTTGCGGTTCTTCTGGAGGTTGCGGAATTGAAGACATCGGCCTGGTTGGTATTGTTGGTCATTCCTTAATCATATGGCTTTGTTCCTGCTATCCTTCCTGCCAATACGCCTTGTCTTCGTTTGTCAAAATTCCTGATTACCCGCCGTTCGCTTGTAATGTGTCCTATAGGAAACGGAACACAATAGTCTTTCCGTCTTCTTCTTCAATTTCGTCAATGTCCGCGTACCTCAGTGGACATTTCAATGGGCCGTGAACCGAAAACAGAACGGCTAACGTCTGTGAGTGTACACTCAGCGGGGTATCATCGATGACCATGCAGCAGGGGTAGGACATCTGAATATCGTTGGATCGTAAGATTTGTTATGAGGGATATTATGACGACCGATTATCGTCTGACTATATATATTAATGATATAGGCTGATGGTTTGGAATGCAAAAGTGTGTCGCAGGCCGCGCGCTCAAATCAAGAGCCGGATAACCAGAACATTTAGCCGTAGAGCCTCTCGCAAAATGATCCCGAATGTAATGTAGGTGAACTTAAACTGACCAACTCTGTCCTTTCTTTCGCTATTTTAAAACGCGTCGGGATGTTTACTTGCCTAGCAGCATTTGCGTAGGTAGCTTGGGCAAAGGTTGAGCTAAAAACGGAGACTTCGTGGCGTAGAACGTGGAATAGGGACGGTATATACTTCTGCAGTAGCAATGGACTCAATATTCCTTGTACCTGACTGCGAATATGGCCTCTAGTTTGTGTATCTCGTAAGTATATTAAGGGATATGGTGAAGTTGAAGTTGAAGATATCGCGGCTGAATGATAAAGTTGGTAGTTAACTTAGGTTAGATAGCCGCTGAGTCATCAGCTGAATGGTTGAGTCTATTTACAGAGAACTTCAACATTTAATTTTTATCCTCTTTTCAGACACTGTAGAAATAATTCCCTATATTCTAAAAATGAAATGATGAGTAGTGATTGTAGAACACAGATGGCATACTGTCAATTTTCAAACATTTAATTCTTTAATTGGTGGAATTGTGGATATAAACAAACAAAACCTCTTTTGGTTATTTTTTTGGAACAATCATTGCCACACAAAAAACATTAATATTATGACATCTATACTTGGGCAGCTATAGCTAAAAAGTAAGTGAGAATCATAGCAAAACATCTCACATATAATACATCATACAAGTATACATATACAGATAAAAGGTATTATGTCAATATATGAATGACACCTTTGGTTGAATGGCCTGTTTCCTCGTCAGTTTGCACAATACACAATACCATATCAAATGCAAAGCCTTATCATCTCACATTCGCCAGAGTTGAAGGGAAAAACACCTATCACAATGCCTATCCCAAATCCTATCCCAAATCACCTACGCCAGCATTTATTCCGAAAAACTGGAACCTACACCAAACGAAAAACATGTTAGCAAACACCCACCCAAAAACCAACTCATAAGAGGAAGAGAGGAAAATAAAAGTGAAAAGAAAAGAAACACACCAATCCTCCACATTCAACGTCGGCGGAATCGGCATCTGCCCCCTCGAACTCGTGCTCCAATTATCATCTTGACTCGAAGAATCCAGCGTCTGCATGGGTGTCCACCCCCCTCCACCCGGATGTTGCTGTTGCTGCTGCTGCTGCTGTTGCTGTTGCTGTTGTTGTTGTTGCTGCTGCTGCTGCATCGACTGCCCCATCCCATGCATATTATGCATGGACATTGTGGAGCTATCGCGCAAGCCGCGCGTGGGTAGCTGTTGCTGCTGTTGCTGTCCGACTTGCGGGTGTTGTTGAGAGGGACTGAGACCCGGGGCGTTGGGGCCTGACATGCCACTCATCATCGATGCTTGTTGTTGCTGTTGCTGTGACATCTGCTGCTGGAGTTGTGGGTCGATCGCGGGACCGGGTGGGGAGAAGCCTGTGTACGACATATTTGTGCCGTCGGGGAAGAGCTGGTCGGGCTGGAAGTTTTCCCAGAGTGACTGTGAGATGTTGGGGGAGTTGCGGGTGACAAGGAAGAGGTCGGGGGGTGTTGCGGGGATGCTGAAGGATGGGTTGAAGGGGGAGGTCGGCCGGGTGTTCCCGCCGGAACTGCCTGTAGCGCCTAGAAAGGCGTCGTGGGTTATACCGCGTTGCTGTTGCTGCTGTTGTTGCTGCTGTCGTTGTTGGATGCGTGGGGAAGCTTGGGCGGGTTGGTGGGGGTTTGGGGCGCCCATGTTTGAGATGATCGGTGTTGGGGGTATTTCGCGTGACGGTGTAACGGCAGGTGTCTGCGGTCGAGAACGCTCGTAGGATTCTTGTGGGGCTGGAGGGCCATTGGGGAGGGTGATTTCCATGTCGTCAAATTTGCGTTTGGAGGGCTCTGAGGGCCGTTTTGCTGCGGGGCCGGTGGGTGGGGGCGGTTGATCGCGTCGTGTGCGTTGATGCCGTTTGCCGGCCGCTTTCTGGAGGCGTTCTTCGAGCGCTTTGTTACCGAGGATAGACTCGAAGAGGGTGTGGACCATTTTTGCGACGAGCCAGACTTTTGAGACATCCTTTAAGGCTTGCATACATATATTGATCCGCTCTTGACTGGTGGAGACGATTGTCGGGACGGATGAGCGCATTTGGTATACATGCATGATTAGGGCCGAGAATAAGCTATATACACTGGTTTTTTTTTTTTTTTTTTTTTTTTTTTAGATGGAAAGTTAGGGAATGATGAAAACGTTATTTGCAATGTAGTGACACAGAAACGCAAGGGATGGGTCATTTAACTTACATAAATGCCGGGGTATATTTAAGTTCGCCGTGTGCTTGCAAATTTTCGACGATCGATGTAATCATGGCAGCGGCCTGGAATGCAATAGTGCGGGACGGATAAGCCATCCCGTCCGATCCGTAATTTCCAGATATTGACGTGGCTGGGGGCATGTGTGCACGATGCAGTAGACACAATGTTGTGCTTCACAGAGGAGGTATTAGGTTAGCTATAGGGATCTTGCCAATTATCAAGTTCTTCAGGAGAAAAAACTCACTAGTAATTGGCATGCAACAAAGCGGACCAAAAATGATGTCTAGGCCTTTCCCAGTATACTTCCTTCGGACAATTCTGAAGCCAATCAGCCAACGCCATATCGCTATGCGTCAGATCGATGGCATTCGTGCGCCGCGCCTTCGAAGCAACCGAGTACTGCTGAGACAACACCAGACCCATTATCTCGCAGAGTTTCACATACTGGAGGAAAAACTGGACATGGATTGGGTCGGGCGGGTACTCAGCCACGCTGTCGACTTCGTCCTCGATGAAGTCATCCTCTGTTAGCATTTCGACATCAGAGTCGTCTGTGTTTATGTTTACCGGTCGGCCGAGGGCGACGGCGACGGATCGATCACGAGTGAAAAGGGTCCACCAGATTCGTTTCCAGAGACGTTTGTCCGGTCTGCTTAGTTGGGACGATTCCACGCTGTGAGTGTAGAGTTTTGTTAGCAGGAAGATCGACAGAAGTTGGGGTTTTTCTAGTTCGTGAACGTGTAATATTGTTATGACGAACCTTCGATGCATTCCGGATCCTTGCGCAACAACAGTGGCAACTCGACTCCAGTAGAAAACATTTTTGGTGACATCTAAAGGCACACACTGGTTAGCTAACAGGATACATTGTATTACACAAATCAAAAGGGAAAAAAAAGTTAGCTAGAGGAGCGCTATATTCATACCCTCTGGGCCCTCCCAGTACCATCCCATCAAAACCAAAGCTTGCACTATAGTAACACGGTCATCTTCATAATTCGCATCATATAGGGCTTTAGCTCGTTTATAGAAAGTCATAGCTGCAGGCGTCGTCGAGCCATTGGCATCCATCAACTGAGGGTTTGTGCATACCCTTGATCCCGCCAAGAGAATCGCTTGCAGGAGAAGTAGGGAAGGTGGGTTCTTAGGATCGCGATATTGTCTCATGAACCGGCTTCGATTTATGATGGGCACGACGGGCGCAACCCATTTGAAATATGCATCGACGAGCTCATCACAGAGTGCTCGGGGAGGGAGTAAGAATGCGCCCCTCTGGTGCAAAATGTCAATTTCCAAATTGTCTAGCTCCGTCAGCCGTGCGCGCGAGCCTCTTATTCCCTCCGGCAGCGGGTAGTGGACGACGTCGGTAGTGCCATAGCGGTCATGGACGAGGAGGGACAAGTTTGACGATTCCCCTAGATATGCTACCCTTCCAGCTTCTTTGATCGGGGCGCGGGCGAATTTTGGCTTCATGAACTGGGCGTACGTGGCATTTTGGGAAGCTTGCTGGGCTGCTTGGGCATCCGTCAAGGTGGTCTGGGGCATGCCTTCTACTGGGTTTATGCCAGAGACCTTGGAGCTATCACCATTGGCTCCGCTCCTGGAGTCTGGTCGTTCATCGCTGCTTTGAGGTAAGGAATTAACCGATTAGCAATTGATGTCAAAGCTGCACAGCGAAATCGGGATATTTTCCTGCAAACCTACCTGGTCCCATCCTTAGCTGCCTTTGACTGGTTCTTCTTCCGTTTTGGCGTTGGGATTTTGCATTCAATCGAAAAAGCTACGCAATTGGTGCATGGTACACCTAGACTAGCGGCGTCACATCGCACCTATGCCAATCCGTGAGGAGACATGTTAAAGACAGAACGACACATAACATCACAATGACAAAATGACCTAGGCCACATAAGAATGAAACCCGATTTAGATCAACCAGGCTTCGGTCAACCACCCAACAAAAGAAATGGGTGGGTTGTCGGGGCGGGCTGCGAGTATCAACGAAAACGAGCAGAATTTTTCTGAATTTGTGGTTAGGACTGAGACTAACCTTTCGAGCATGGCACGTCTATGAAGTCAACGTGGACACGATCATCACCGTCAGCAAATATACGGATAAAATATATTAATAGAAGAAATAGACCCATTGTAATCTGCTGCAGTCCTCGATATTTAAGAGATATAGGGCGTCATCTCTCTCCCAGACCGAGGTGCCGAGGCTGAATGCCAACGACAGCTCTATCGCGTCTTTGCTAGACAACGGGGCTGGAATGACACACAGAAACCTAGGTATACGCCTAGGTATATATATAAAAGAGAGGAAAGGGAATTTAAGAAACATACCTCACAGGCACGCGATGCTCGTTGTCTATATTCCCCCCATTTAATTGTCAGTTAATTTGTATATAATTTTTGCGCAGCGCATTTTCCGACCACCCGGTCCCATCGAACTCCAGCCACAGCAACACACACACTTTTAATTAATACACATTCTCATTTTTGCTTTTGGGAAATTGGATCACATACCGTCTGAAGCTGGGATGGCCTGGGGTCTGCATTGAAGGCACAGTCTTCTTGGGAACTGTGGCGGTTGTGGGTGATGGAACATCGGATTCCACGGCCGGGGTTGACGAGGGCGTCAGGTTTGGGGGTGGGTCTTCTGCACCAGTCATGACCTGGTCAGATCTATTGTCTGGGGTGTTGCTACTCATTGTTGGGTGTTTGGCCCACCAAGAGAGTGTGTGGGCGGGTGCGCAGATGGAGGGGAGATAAAGAGGAGGGTTTAAGACGAAGAAGAAACAGAAAAGAAAAGGGAAATGGTGAAGTTGGTGGTGACGGCGGTGATGTTGGTGGTCTGGTCGGAGGAGGGCGGGAGAGGGACTGATTAAACCACATTACTTAAAGAACGGGTGCAAGGGACACACAATTAACCAACCAACCCAGCAGAACACATATATACAGATACACAGGTGTACAATATGAAAGCGGTGGGATGTTTTATTTTATTTTTTCTTTAGGGGGTGGGTGGGATTTTTTGTTAACGTGTTTCTTTTGATTTATTTTCTTATTCTTCACATCCTGGAAGATTTTCGAAGACGCGGAGAATATTAACAAGATAAACCACTTAACGAATAGACAACTTACACTAGTTAGCTGTTTGGTAGTTAGTTACAGGGACAGGGCACAAATCTTAAATAATTAAGACCAGACAGATTTATTAGGATTACTATCTATCTACGATAACTATGTAGTTAATTGAATCGGGGATCTCATCGGTATTGAAAGAGAAACATAAAACATAGCAAGCGGAGGGATTTGACCTTTACCGGACTGGCATTTAAAACCAGATGAGGCTGGACAAATAGCTAGTATGTTTGGCTTTTATTTCTTCTTCATTTCCCCCTTTTTTTTTTTTTCTTTTTCTTTTTCTTTTTTTTTTTTTTTTTGGCCATCCCTGCGGTGCGCATGGCGGGGAATTCGAGTCTATTAAAAGAGAGAAAAAAATGTAAGAGTCGATTCCGGGCCAATTCCCCGCCACAGACATCAACGGATTCCTTCTGGTTCAACGCGAACTGCAATGATAGTTTTATTCCTCAAGGAATCTGGAGGAGGTACAGAGTTACAAGGAATACAATATAAAAAAGGAAACATGCCACAAAAACAAACCTTTCTCTCCCGCTGTAGTTACTGTATGCACATACATGCATGCATACATACACACATACATACATACATACATACATACATACATACATACATACATACAGGCATGGGATGTAAGCAGCAGCCGTAAAACCTCAGGTGCACAAGTATTTACGTAACTACCGAGACTCTGCTTCTCGAAACGATTTCAAGGGATCTAAACTGAGAGAGGACTGTTAGCATCTGAGCAATATACTGATTGATGCGGGACAGGAGACTAATAATTACTTTGTTAACTAATATCTAACCATGCTTCAAGGATGCGGTGAGTGAGATGAATCCACGGCAGGGAGATTTCCAACCACTGTGAACAACTATTATTTCCCTGCATGAGGAACTGACCTGAAAGAGCTTGGCTAAAATAAAAATAAATGTTGTCCGTTACAAGATCGGCTGCCTCCTGGCACAACCTGTCTCCCAGCCGCCGAATCTATCCCATTGCTTAAATATTCTAAGGACCCAAAAAAAGAATAAATAAATAAATAAATAAATAAATAAATAAATAAATAAATAAATAAAAAATTCTCGGAGACCAGCTCCAGAAAGATATATAACGTAGAGCTGCCAAAAAATCCACAGACTGTAATAGTACCGAGTTCCCACCAGGGATGCTGCCTCGCAAAGTTTCTACTTCCTGGTATGATATCATAGATTACGCAGTCGACTTCTGGTTTCAACAACTCCGTGCTCTTCCTCGAAAATTAGTTTAGCAACTCCGAATCATGGAGTTTGGAGTCTATGAAATTTTCGGCAATCAAGCTTACAAGGTTGCCCCACCTCGTCTATTTCCTTCAACCTGAGGTCTTGCAGCTCCCCGTGGATCCATGGGCCGCCGCATTGGCGATTCGGAAAACGAGAACGAAGGAATGAATATGCTATTAAAGAAGGGAAAAACGAGGGGAGGCCGGGTGGTTGGTTGCATAGGGCGGGTTTGGAACCCAGTGTTGGGATGGATTGCCGCTTAAGAGTCTTCAAGAAGTAAAACCATCAACTTATTAGTTAGCAGCATGATAGATACTGTTCCCGCCGGTCCCTTTTTCGAGTCTAGGTTGTAGTTACGGGCCGGGGGTACAGAGTTATTAGGTATTGAGCCAGCAAAGGGCAACGCCAGCGTTACAACAACCCTGAGCTAGCTACCCCGTAGGTGCGAAGTCGTTAACTGATATAATTTAATTATTGATAGCTATCGAGGACGTGAGAACTCGTTGCATCCATTCCACTGCGAACCCCGGCACCCAACGACCGCCCTCTCCTGCACCTAACTACTCTCTTAAGTCTATAGTCGACATCTCATAGCACAGGACAACACAAGCTCCCAGTCCAAGAGGCGAAGAGCGCATCCTGTCCCGAGATATTTTCTTCGATCTTTCTTTTGTAGTTAACTCTTCATGCCGTAGCGCAAGTGTAGGGCTGTCAAACAAAACACGAACCTCCAGATATGAAGGAAGCCTAGAATCTGGGGAAATATGGTAAATTGATAGCAAACGGGGATCGGGATATGGGGAAACGGTAAACGTGGCGGGAAGGTCTTCAAGGGATGGGACACATCCGTGGATCCTCCTGGACATGCATACACACGGTACATAACTGTGTGATGCAAGTTTGCGATCGATAACTTTCATACTTTGGTTTGGAGGCCGTTGGACATCTCAATGGATGCAGGATGGTAGAGCGTGACAGAGCATGAACACAAACGGGAGCAGGATCTTGGATCGGGGTTTCCATGTTTCCAAAGAACACGTAACTACTTCACATATCTTCGTTTTACTGCTGCTACTTTCTGCTATATCGGGTGTCCCCTCCTGAGACCACCAGTGACCGACCACCTTCTAACTAGGAAAATGGGTGGGCAGGAAATTGGGCAGGATTTTTCAGAATCCTGGAACCGCAGACGATACAAGGACATGGGGGATTGAAAGGGGAACCAAAAGAAGTGGAAAAGAATGAACAGAAAAAGAAACAAAAAAAAAAAAAAAAAAAAAAAAAAAAAAAGGTTTGATGCATGGTTAGCATAACATTTTCATTCATATGTTACGGAGAGAATGACAGGGTATCAAGTCTGGACCTTGACCAGGTAAATATCCGACCGAGCTTAGCTGATCGCTAAGCCAACTTTGAAAAGTTGACAGATGCAAGGCGCTACTAGGACGCAAGAGTTCAAAACGGATGTTTTATCGAAGATGAGTTAGCCTGTTTGTATCCTTATGACCGGGACTGACCTTTATTCTGTCGTTGCTTATTGGTTCAGACCTCTGACGTTCGCTTCTTTCAAGAAATCTCGATGACTTTTCCTGAACAGTGACAGAAAATTTCCCTCTTCTGGTGGATTGAAGAATCAGTGATCTTATCATCTAGCCATTCAAGGTGTTTTTGTTTACTAAGGTAAGGAATGGTGTCTGGGCCCTTCACCTCGCGAGGGATGGTTTGCAACAAATCAAAAACGTGTAGGGGAGTCGTCTTTTTGACGAAGGAGCTGGATTGATAATCATCCTAAAATATCCCCCCCATCCCCCCCTCTTATCCTTTTTCCCTCGAGAGGACCAGATTCGATCTGCATATGCACATGCAGGACTAGGAGAGCAATGAGGCCCCAGACATCTCTACATCCCTGCTCGTTCCAGCATATGAAGAGAGAAGAAAAGTATATGCACCGGTGCAAGTGCCACGTAGAGATGCGCCATATGAGATGCCCACGCGTTTGTCTAGGCCGCCGTCCCCACAAAAAATCGCATCCCCTCTTTAATTCCCTGTCGGGAAAAAGAAGGTGTAATAGACATCCATGACAAGGTAACAAGACAAAAGAAAAATGACTAAATCATATTCCGTTTATTAGCTGAGGCAGTGGTGTTGCTTCGGGGTAAAAGAGAGAAGAAGAGGTTCGGAATTCAAGTTTCGTGATATGATATATACGGGTAGAAAAGAATTGATATCCACTGGAGCATAGATGGGATAGGTTATTGGCCATGAGGGGTTGACAACAGAGATTGGAACTGAATCAATTGATAATGAACTTTCAACTGGAAGGGTATTTAAAGTCAATCAGTGGCATCTCTCTTGATCGATATCTAACATGTAGAAAAGCTCAGAACAAAAGGATATTTGAAATTTGGTACACAAGAGGTGAAGAACAAGGCCCCGAGGGTAGTGCAGGGGCAAAACTAAGCGAAGGAAACCACGCACAGCAAAAATAGATAATATGAAGAGCATAAAATAACAATACCAAAAAAAAAAGGCCATGGAGATGTGTTATATTCAACCAAATTCCCCCTCTATTTGCACTTGTATTCTGTAAGGAAAAGTGTAACCAACTACCAGGAAGAAACGCTGGTGCAGTGCGGGGCGACGGAAAAAGAGGAACGGACGTGCAGTAATAGCAATCCCAACAGCAACCTGTGCCTATATTTCCTTTGTGGGGCATCATTCTAGAATATTGCGAACATCCCCCACAAAAGAGAATTTTGGCGCCAAACGCGACAAGATAAAGGAAAAGCTCTCAATGACTATTAGATGCTTTGAAGGAAGATTTCGAAACGCCGTTAGTAGTATGTCCATTCGCTTTCTCCGTAACACTAGGTTTCCCATCCCGCTCATAAGAAGATAGGCCATTAGTGCCATTGGACTCCGCAGCAGGTTTCCGCACCTTATCCGTTCCTGGCGATAAATATCCTTTACTATCATCCTCACCCTTACTGACGACATCAGTATTTTCAAACTCAATTCCGGCTATGAACGTTTCACTGAGAAATTCCAGCCCAGCAACGAACGTGCACAACCCACTGGCTATGCAGAAGTGGCTTATGGTCATGCCAATGTCAAGCCAACTCCCCTCGTCGCGCACCATGTAAAAGAAATTTAGAGTCATGATGTCACTGATGGACATGACGATCATGAAGAGGGCGGATGGTGCGACGCCTAGGCGCCGGTTAAGAATTCCCAGGTTTGCGCTGATGATGGCGAATGGGATGATGATTTTAAGGATTAGTAGGGCACCCTGGGAAAAGGGGTTGAA